TAGAGGAAGTATAATCATATACGATCATATGTTTCTAAAAATCACAAAAAAATATATATTCAAATATGCTACTTAATGATTCGCCTGTTACAGAATTCATCATTTTAATCACCTGATTCACGTGTTTAAATTCAGCATACTTCACGATCATAAACTTACGTCTTCGAAGGAAAGAAGTCTCACATGTCAAATCAGGATCTAGATAAAAATTATGACGGGATTTCGACCCTATTTTTCTAGATTACAGAAGCTCGTTTGACATTTCACTGAAAAAAAACTACGACGGAGAACTGAAATGAATAACACAGTTTCTTTTTTCAAATGTCTTGCACATAAAAATACCCACACAGAGCCAAGCAGACGCACAATAAAACAAATATATACATCTATATATACAAATATATACATACATGTACTATATACATATATATGTATATATATATATATATATATATATATATATATATATATATATATATATATATATATATACATATATATACATATATATATATATATATATATATATATATATATATATATATATATATATATACACGCATATGTATGTATGTATATGCACACACTCACACACACACACACACACACACACATATATATATATATATATATATATATATATATATATATATATATATATATATATAAACAGAAACACACACACACACACACACACACACACACACACACACACACACATACACACACACACACACACACACACACACACATATATATATATATATATATATATATATATATATATATATATATATATATATATGCATATATATATTGTGTTTGTGTGTGTGTGTGTTTATGTATTCATATAACTATGTGCATACATATATACACATACATATATATACATATATATAAATAAATATATATATATATATATATATATATATATATATATATATATATATATATATATACATATATATATTTGTGTGTGTGTGTGTATAAAAATAAATACATATACACACACATGCATTTATATATGTATAACTACACAAACGTATATAGACATTAGAGAGAAAGACATATAAATGAATAGATGAATGATTGGGTAAGTAGGTAGACATAACCATATAAAGGTATAGACAAATGAACAGAGAATCTAACCAAAAATATATAAAAAATAATAAAAACAAAGAAACGCACTGCATAAAAAAAGAGAAATGACGTTTTCTACGCGAGTTTCAGGGTTCAAAGACACAATCAGGTTTTAGTATCGACGCAGACACCAGTACTGCAAGTTTATCAGACAGAGATACTCGTATGCCTGGTTTTGTGCAGTCGTGAACTACTGTCTTGTGTCCAATTCACAATAGGCGAGGGTCTTTGTTCGTGAGAGATGGTCAAAGAAATTTAGGTTCGTTGTCTTCTTTGCGGGATCTTATTAAGGTATTTAGTAATGTTTTTTTTTGTAGTTATCATTGTCGTTGTTATTATTTCATTGTCATTATTATTATTGTTATTATCATCGTGATTATCATGATTACTATTATTATCGTTATTGTCATTCATTATCATCAATAGTAACAGTAGTACTGATAGTAGTAATAGTAGTAGATGAAGTAGTAGTAGTAGTAGTAGTAGTAGTTGTAGTAGTAACATTACCGTCACTGCTACAATTATTTAATCACTAAAGGTTATTATTTGCTTGCATGAATTTAGGTCGATGATTTTACATTATCAAATTATAGACGCAGATATTTTGCAACTAATGTCTATGAATATTTATTTTCGGAATATTCGCAAATCCCTGCTGTTCACCTAATATTTCCGCAATATTTTCGACTCCCGTAACTCCTTTGCTGGAGTATCTAACGAAACACGAAAAGTGACAGTCATATAGACCTTGGCCGTATGACAGGGCTGACACTTGCCTTCGGGCGTTGACACGGAAGCAGAGTGTAAAATTAGTAACTCCATGTCACTCCCAGTTTTCAGTTTGGTCGCAGACACGCTTTGAGTGCTTGAGCGTGTCTGTGCGTGCATGTCTTATGTAAGTGTGTGTGTGTGTGTGTGTATAAAAATAAATACATATACACACACATGCATTTATATATGTATAACTACACAAACGTATATAGACATTAGAGAGAAAGACATATAAATGAATAGATGAATGATTGGGTAAGTAGGTAGACATAACCATATAAAGGTATAGACAAATGAACAGAGAATCTAACCAAAAATATATAAAAAAATAATAAAAACAAAGAAACGCACTGCATAAAAAAAGAGAAATGACGTTTTCTACGCGAGTTTCAGGGTTCAAAGACACAATCAGGTTTTAGTATCGACGCAGACACCAGTACTGCAAGTTTATCAGACAGAGATACTCGTATGCCTGGTTTTGTGCAGTCGTGAACTACTGTCTTGTGTCCAATTCACAATAGGCGAGGGTCTTTGTTCGTGAGAGATGGTCAAAGAAATTTAGGTTCGTTGTCTTCTTTGCGGGATCTTATTAAGGTATTTAGTAATGTTTTTTGTAGTTATCATCGTCGTTGTTATTATTTCATTGTCATTATTATTATTTGTATTATTATTTGCATTTCATTGTGTTTCTCTATGGAATATTTCTAAAGAAAGGGTAAGAATATTAAGAATGAATTGTATGCATCTATTAGCAGAGTTTATTAAAAAATAATATATAAAATAAGTTCAGGAATATATATATATATATATATATATATATATATATATATATATATATATATAGATAGATAGATAGATAGATAGATAGATAGATAGATAGATAGATAGATAGATAGATAGATAGATAGATAGATAGATAGATAGATAGATAGATAGATAGATAGATAGATAGATAGATAGATAGATAGATAGATAGATAGATAGATAGATAGATAGATAGATAGATAGATAGATAGATAGATAGATAGATAGATAGATAGATAGATAGATAGATAGATAGATAGATAGATAGATAGATAGATAGATAGATAGATAGATAGATAGATAGATAGATAGATAGATAGATAGATAGATAGATAGATAGATAGATAGATAGATAGATAGATAGATAGATAGATAGATAGATAGATAGATAGATAGATAGATAGATAGATAGATAGATAGATAGATAGATAGATAGATAGATAGATAGATAGATAGATAGATAGATAGATAGATAGATAGATAGATAGATAGATAGATAGATAGATAGATAGATAGATAGATAGATAGATAGATAGATAGATAGATAGATAGATAGATAGATAGATAGATAGATAGATAGATAGATAGATAGATAGATAGATAGATAGATAGATAGATAGATAGATAGATAGATAGATAGATAGATAGATAGATAGATAGATAGATAGATAGATAGATAGATAGATAGATAGATAGATAGATAGATAGATAGATAGATAGATAGATAGATAGATAGATAGATAGATAGATAGATAGATAGATAGATAGATAGATAGATAGATAGATAGATAGATAGATAGATAGATAGATAGATAGATAGATAGATAGATAGATAGATAGATAGGTAGATAGATTAACCATAATACAATACAAATCATAATAAACATTAATATAGAATAAAACAAAGTCACTCTTCAGGAGGATGTCAAAGGACAAAATTCGTTTGTCTGCTAACTGGCGCTAGAAAAGTCTTATTCCATTCATCATTTCATCTGACCGTTTGTATTTCTGTCGTGCGGAAAGGGGGTTTAATTGCTTTCTATATTTTATATCAATAGGTATAGTGATCTATAACATATTTATCAATCTACTGATTTGTCTACTTAGCCAGACAATACACACACACACACACACATATATATATATATATATATATATATATATATATATATATATATATATATATATATATATATATATATATATATATATATATATATATATATATATATATATGTGTGTGTGTGTGATATATATATATATATATATATATATATATATATATATATATATATATATATATATATATATACATGTATATGTATATCTATAAAAATTGTATATATATATATATATATATATATATATATATGTATATATATATATATATATATATATATATATATATATATATATATGTATGTATATATATAAATACTGTATATATATATATATATATATATATATATATATATATATATATTCAGTATATATATATATATATATATATATATATATATATATATATATATATATATATATATATATATGCAGTGTATATATATGTATACACATATATACACAGTACAGATATGTGTTTGAGTATGTGTTAAAAATCTCATAACAAATGACCTGGATAACATGAAATGCCAGTGTTCTGCATTACGATAGGCTTTATAAGATTTCTCGACACACACACACGCACGCACGGACGCACCCACACCCCCACACCCACCCACACACACACACACACACACACACACACACACACACACACACACACACACACACACACACACACACACACACACACACACACACACACACACGCACGCTCGCACAGACGTACACTTATTCACACATTCACACACGCACGCACAGACGTACATTTATTCACACGCTCACACACCCACGCACACACACACACCCACTGCTACACACACATTCATTACATACATACAGAAACACACACATACATATATACATACATGGCTACACACATGCACATAAATACACCAAAAAGGGAGAGAGAGAGAGAGAGAGAGAGAGAGAGAGAGAGAGAGAGAGAGAGAGAGAGAGAGAGAGAGAGAGAGAGAGAGAGAGAGAGAGAGAGAGAGAGAGAGAGAGAGAGAGAAGGGTGGGGGACCTGGGAAGGTAGACAGACAGACACCGAAACTTACCCAGACAGGTGAGTTAATTTTCCCCACTGTCTCTCCCTTTCTTTCCGCCAATCGATACGTCTCTTCTAAGAGCGAGTCAATAGGAATCGATAATACGCGCAAAGGTGTATTATTTCATTCCACAGACTCAAAATAAAAAAAAACGAAAGAAAGAAAAAAAAAGGTAGTGTCCCCGCCCATCTTCCTGTGTAACTGACCACTTGTTTTGCGTTCGAATTCTAAGTTGGTTTACTTCTATCGTTTCTCCTTTATGACACTATTTAAGAAAAATGTCTTATTACATTATTATATATCAGAGAGAATTCACCGACAACAATACGAATTTAAATATCGTGTATTCAAGTAACCGCGATAACAAACTAGTGCACAGAACACTTCCCACCCGTACAATCAGATCTTACCCTGTAAATCCACTTAAAGAGAAAAAAACTCTCCCTCTTAAAAAATCCAACAATCCTACTTACATAAATCCATTCATCTAAAACACCCAAGAATCGGAGAAAAACCGATTTGAAAAAAAAAGAAAAAAAAAAAGAAAATGGCGTCCACAGTCTTAGCGGTGCGGAGGAATACACACGTTGTAGAACTCACGCCTTAGGAAGTTGTTCAGTCTGTTCAGCCTGTACAATCCCCCACAGTGTTCAGTCTCCTTCCTCGCTATGTTCTCGAAGTGATTTTGAAGTTTTTTGAAATCCCACCCCCCCTCCCCTCTTTTTTCTCTCTGCCTTTTTCCCCCTCGTTCGCAAGGCAGCTGACACGCCCCGGGAAGAGAGAAGGAGAGAGAGAGGGAGAGAGATAGAGAGAGAGAGAGAGAGAAAGGATATTCGGGCTTGTGGCTGGGAAGTGTATTTCTCGAGGTGGGTTTCGCGTGTGTGGCTAGGAGGAGGTGGAGGAGAGGCGGTGGAAAGGGAAGAGGAGGTGGCAGAAGGGGAAGCGAAGGAGACGGAGGAAGAGGAAGGAGAGGGAGAGAAAGAAAAAAAAAGGGAGGCGGCGAGAGAGGGAGAGCAAAGTGGGCTGGGCTTTCAAAGTCAAAATTACTGCATGCCGGGTTTTTTTCGCTTTTCTCCGCTGATAGTACGGTTATTATCGTCTCCTCTTTCTCTCCCCCTTTTCCTCCTGTTCCATCTGCTTCTCCTTCGTTTCATTCGGGCCCCTTTTCTGTGGACGTTTTGTGATTTATGGAAAGATATTGTGAGCAGTGAATTGAAAAGAGAAAAAAAGACCCAATTTTTGAAAGTTTTTTAACGTTTTGAAAGTAATTATACATTTAAATCGTAAAAAATCCTACATAAGTATATTGGTAAAAGGTTTTCTCATTTATTTTTGTGATCCACAGTGTGTTTTTTTTATATTGGTGAATTGCAAAGTTTTTTTTTTTTGTAAAAGTGATATTTAATTACATACCTGGGAAGGTGTAAATCAAAAAGAATAATATAATAAGCGCTTTTTGTTACTTTTTTTTTTACAGATTTTTGTAAATTTTTTTGAAAACTTGTGTTTCTGTTTTGCCAAGAATTTGTGTGAAATGTGATATTGGTATGTATGAAATTAATTTAAATTAAATACGTTAAAAGATAGATTAATATAATTCAATATCGTGGCCACCTTCAGGATTTATTTGCTACGGGATTATAAATTTTAAGAATTTGATAAAGCTTGCTGTGTTTTTCTTTACAGGGAAATGACGAAAATCAATTATTTAAGAATATAGGGAGGTATGAGAAAGATTTATAGTCATGTAGAGGAAATAATTGATTGACAGATTTTACATAAAACTAGATTTAAGTCAATCATCAGATATTGCCAATGTGCGTCTGTACACCTGCCGGCGCTGTGGCAAAGGTCAACAAACCACTGTGAGCGTGTAAAAGGCCCTTTCGAGTTGTCAACAAGTAAGGAAGTGGTCCAAGCTTAATTTCGCTTGAATATAGGTAGTGGTTTGCCCTCTGATGTTAGGGCATTTAGTTGCAGAAGTCACTCGACACGGTTATATTGGACGCTGGGTGTTAGTTCATCCTTCGCTTATTGGGGGAAGTTCGGTTTGGATTTTGATAGAATTTGGCCGAAATAAGTGCTAGGTGTGTTTTAGATACTTGCCTAATTTTTAAGGGAAAGATTGGAGAAAATGTGTAGTTTTCATACAGGTATACACAATAGTTATTGTGTTATTCGAGAAAAGTTTATTCAGGCACTCATGGTGTACCATATTTAATGTCCATAGAATATTCATATATAGTATTATTTAACATTATTTGTAGAGAAATCCATGTTACTGTTCGTAATCAGGCACTTAGTTAACATCTTTAATGTTTTGATATAGGCATATTGATTAGCTTAGATTCTTAGCTAATACTATTTAGGTAAGCGCCATTAATACACCTGCAGTGGCCTTCTTAGATGAGAATCTTTTCTTATAAAGGCATTAGCTGTGTTCTCTCCAATTCCATGTAAAACATGCCGTGATCTGTGAAAGATGGCTGGCAAATTTGCAACCTCACAAGCAGGTGATGGCATAGTGTCAGATGACCAGCTAGGCTCTGGGAAAGGAAATCAGACCCGCATTTGGTAAATTCTGGTGAGATAGTGATGGGACTAGTTTCTTCTT